ACTACTACGATTATCAGAACTTCCTGGAAGCTTTGTGTTATTATGGTACAACACTGATAGCCAGTGAAGGACTGTAACTTGATTGTTTTCTCTGGGTGTAATAATCATCCAACCAGCCAAAACAGACCCCAGGCGTGATTTGCTTTTACACATAATAATTGAGCAGTCTAAACTGGTTAGGGAACCAAAATTATTAACTGTTAATACACATCTCTTTCTTACCCCTCATGCATCATTTCCATCAAAATTTCACCCAGAAATTTTCTTGCAAAGGGATAAAAATTCCACTTGGAAGATTTTTTTATTAATCCAGTTCCTTTTTCTAAGACGTCACAGGGATTCATTCACAGCCACAGGTAGAACAGAGTCTGTCTTAGAAACATGATACTAAACATACCAATACCTCACTGACTCATGTCTAAAGAAATCTGTGTTTCCATCCTAACCTGCCAGTTTTTCTGAACATTGAATGATTCTTTTAATTCAGGATAATTTATAGGACTTTGTGTTTTATACTGGAATGGCCACTCCATTATTCATTATGCAATTGTTTACTGAAGGCCTAAAATATTCAGAAATTTCACTGGCCATAAAAGATATGGCAGTATTATATTCAGGGCACCAAATGTGCACATGGAGGAATTCAGGATTATTGAAGTAAGTGATATTCAAAAACCCCAGGAAAAGCAGCAATTACAAGGAGCTAAGTCAGAAGACAACAAACCCCAGGGAAGCCTTGACCAAATTTTGATTTTTTTTTTTAAACAATGATTGGAATACATCACTCATCTTCCAAATAATGTGATATGAATTCAATTTTTATTCTTTACCTCCCTAAAATTGAAACATGAAAAGATAACCCAGACAACAATGCTAGCTATACTTTGGTTGGATTTCTACGATAGATACCAAAATGTAAAGTGATTGGATCTGCATCCTTGGCACTTCCACATGGCATCCACAGGCAAAGGAAAACTTGCTTTTTAAAAGTGCTTGATCTAGTTTCCTTTGTACCCTTATCACTCAGCGCCCTGCACATAGTTGGCCTTCAGCATTTTGTAAGTCATGGTAAATTAAACATTATGTCTCATTATGATGCTTCAACCTAACCTACGAAAGCTGGATAATGTTTTTTACTCCAAAAGTAGAATATTTTTAATTGACAGAGATCACTGTGTGTTTTTATCACGTACAATATGATTTGATTTTTTTTGGGGGGGATACCAGGGATTGAACCCAGGGGCACTTAACCACTGAGCCACATCCCCAGCCCTATTTATTTATTTATTAAAAAAATTGAAGTGGGGGAGACAGGGTCTTGCTAAATTGCTGAGGCTGGCTTTGAATTTGCAATTCTCCTCGGCCTCCTTAGCTGCTGGGATTACAATCATGCACCACTACACCAAGCTGTGTGCACATACATTATATAATGGTTAAATATGATAATTAACAGATGCAAAACCTCATACAGTTATCATTTTTGTGAGAGTATAGCATCCATTCTGTTTACATTTTTTAAGAATACAACATATCATCATTAACTATAGTCACCTTGCTGTACAATCAGTATCTTGACATTTATTCCTCCTATCTAATTTTAATTATGTATCCTTAACCTGGATAATTTTTTTTCTAGGGTATTTTTTGTTTTGTTTTGTTTTTTGGTACTGGGGATTGAATCCAGGAACACTTAACCACTGGGCCACATCCCCAGTACTTTTTATTTTTTATTGTGAGACAGAGTCTTGCTTAGTTGCCTATGGTCTTGCTAAGTTGCTGAGGCTGGCTTTGAACTTGTGATCCTCCTGCCTCAGCCTGCCAAAGCACTGGGACTACAGGCATGCACCACTACATCCAGCTAGATAATTTTTTCCCAGATAGATAATTTTTAATGTTATTCCAAATAAGAAATAAAGTGAAAGCCTCCCTTCAGATGAATACTCAGTAAATAATGAATATATTTAAATGGATAATAACCTAACTATAGAGACTCACATTTCACTGTGGAGCCCTACCACGCTATGATATCCACCCACAAGACACAGAGGGTTTTTCAATGTTTTACAATACATCATCTAGGTGACAGCAGCACTGAATATGAGATATGCATATTATCTGAAATGACACAGTAACTGGGCTGAACATGTTTTTATACAGATCCTTGCAGATGGTTAACCATTCACCAGCCTCTTGGCAGGATTGCAAGAAAGGTAACTTCTTGTGTGGTGGTAAAGGTAATTAGACACTAACTCAGTGTCTAATTCAGGATAACATTCTGCAGCTAGATGCTGATTTTCTAAGGCATTACCTACATCATTTTTAAAAACAAAATAATTTGCTGTGTTACATAAATTATTTCCTTTTATGACCATAAAATATTGTTTCAGACAAAATATGCAGTAATTATTTCCATAGGATAAAAGGGAAAGAAGTAGGGCTGGAGCTGTAGCTCAGTGGTACAGTGCTTGCCTTGCACTTGTGAGGCCCTAGGTTCAATCCTCAGCACTACATAAAAATAAAGACATCGTGACAATCTACAACTAAAAAAATATTTTTAAAAAGAGGGGGAAAGAAACACTACTTTTTCAAGGGACAAATCCAAATGGAAAAATTTAAAGATTCTATAATGAATGCATTTTGGTGGGGATGGGGAGTACCAGGGATTGAACCTGGGGGCCCTTACACTGGGAAACATCCCAGGCCCCCTTTTTTTTTTAATATTTTTAGTTGTAGATGTTCACCATACCTTTGTTTATTTAGCTTTTTTTTTAATGTGGTGCTGGGGTTCGAACCCAGTGCCTCACACATGCTAGACAAGTACTCTACCACTGAGCCACAATCCCAGCACCCCCAGGCCTTTTTTATATTTTATTTAGAGACTGGGTCTTGCTGAGTTACTTAGGGCCTTGCTAAGTTACTGAGGCTGGCTTTTTTTTTTTTTTTTAATAATGTTATTGGATTTTTTTATACCTTTGGTTTATGTATGTATGTATGTATTTATGTATGGTGCTGAGGATTGGACCCAGGGCTTCACACATGCTAGGCAAGTGCTCCCTCCAACTATAAGCTATAACCCCAGCCCCCTGAGGCTGGCTTCTGAACTCACAATCCACCTGCCTCAGCCTCCCAAGCCACTGGGGTTACAGGCATGGGCCACTCTCCCAGCTTATAATGAATGTCTCTTAATAGTCTAAATTTCCATACCTTAAATTTGTTTAAAATGTGGATCATTTAGATATAGACAAAATGCCCTGAACTAAAATTCAATTTTTACATCAACGCACTCAAAAGCATAAATACAATTCCCTTTTCTTCCTAACCACTCAAACGTTCCCCCTGCTAGACCAAAGAACCTAAATATCACCCTCAAAAAGTACCTCCAAATCCCTTTATACAAATATTTTCTCAAAGACAAAACAAAAATGAAGAAAAAGGAGGAAATCGCTTACTGACAAAGCACCCCTGGTTTTCAGGCCCGCCCGCCTTCAGTCCCTGCACACATGGGATACCTGTTCTCACAGCTTATCAATGATGAATCACCACATTTCAATTCAGGCATTTTAATTTTGTTTTTTTTGAGTGCATTATTCTGAGCCAAGGTGTGGTCACAATTCCCTCACCTCAGATGAAGTTTTGCTCAAATAAAGTAGGCTTTATAACTTAATTAGACCATCATACTACCTCTATCTGCCTCTTAAAACAAAACAAAACCAAAAAATATTCTGAAATGAAAATGGGGGGAAAACTTTCTTATGAGCATTGATCTTGAACCTCTCAAATTACACAAAACCTCCATTCTCAAATTACCCCAAGGATCAGTAAGGCTTCCCACTTCTTCCCCATGGATGATGCATCAGGCACTATGATCCTTGAAATACATCATGTAAGTAAATTACTCAGACTGGCTAGTTCCTAGATATGACATTTTCCTTGCTAAACAGCTCATACTAGTCTTCTATTGTAAAGCACATTGTATGACCTAGTTATAATCCAAAGAATGCTATATTTCTAGTAATTTGCTAATTATTTTCAGCAATTTATAATCCTGAGATCACTAAGGTGAGCTGAAGATGTCCATCCACATTCTAGATTTAAGTTTGCTCTAGACAGAAGAGAGTAAGGCTGAGACTTAATAGACTCTCAGAGAAAGGTGGAAGGGAAATTATGCCTACCAAATTGTTCTTTGAAGTGTGTCAGAGGGAGTGCTATACAGTGAAAAGAAAACTATACTCCAAGTCAAAACCTAGTTGCTCATCAGCTGTGTGACTCTGGGAAGATAATTCAGACGTCCTGAGCCACAGCATCTCTGTTCACCAAACATATAAAACCTTGTCATATGGTTGTAAAGATCAAGTGAAAGAAAGTAGATCCCATGAGATAATGCAAAAGTGCTAGTAAGCTAGAACATGCTATGGGAGGCTCACTCTGTAGTGGGGAACAAAGTATTATTAAATACAATAATTATAATACTATGAATGTTGAAACAGACATAAGAAAAAGAGGGAGCACATACTTTGGCCTCACAGAGAAGAGCTCAGGCTGAGGAGGCTGAGGCTGGCTGACCCTGGGATGGATGAGTTGGACTCCATTGTTACAGAAGAAGTCAGGGCTACAAGAGAACAACCTGAGCAAACACACTCACTCTTGGGCAAGGGAGATTATGCCCGTTGGAAAAATGTGGGGGCCAAAACACAGTGTGCCTACAGAGGTGTGGTGGGAGATGACAGCAGAGAGAAAGGCAAGCACCAGATCAGAGAGGACCTGTGCCTACACCAAGAAGTCTAAACCCGTCCTGTGAGTGTTGGGAAGACATTGAAGAGACGTGTCAAAACAACACAACAACAAAAACAAAAAAACAGTAGTATCAAAACTCCTGTTTTACAAATTTTTCCTATATACCAGGAGGTTTCTGCTCTAGCTGGGTGTTCCTGGACAAAGATTTTAACACAAAGATTTGTGGCCATAAATATATAAAAAGAAATGACGCTAGCTCGGGAGACATGGCGGGCGTTAAAGCTCTTGTGGCGTTATCCTTCACTGGGGCTATTGGGCTGACTTTTCTTGTGCTGGGATGTGCCTTGGAGGATTATGGTGTATACTCTCCCTTTTTTGTCCTGATTTTCCATGCCATCTCCCCTATTCCCCATTTCATCTCCAAAAGAGTCACATATGACTGTAACACAACTAGCAGTGCATATTTCTTCACTACTGGAATTGTTGTTTCTGCCTTTGGATTTCCTGTTATTCTTGCACGTGTGGCTGTGATCAAATAGGAAGCCTGTGGCCTTGTGCTGCAGGCAACACTGTCATTTTTCTTACAATTCAAGGTTTTTTCCTGGTATTTGGAAGAGGAGATGATTTTAGCTGGGAGCCATGGTAGCACTTTATTTTGATAGAGAACACTGTATTTCTTAAGATTTGTACTGTATGTATATGTGTGTACCCGTGGCATTTTACTATGGGATTTAATATGCTGGGTTTTTTATACCTTTATATCATGATCACTCTAAGGAAGACTTCCTAAGTAAAAGATTAGTTTTATTCCTAGATAATGGACCACTATTTTTACTGAAGTTGAACTATGTTATTTGTTTGGCTGTTCACATAGCCAAACAGCTGCTCATCTGTACAGGCCACCTAAACCTTTTGTGTGGAGGTGTGCTTAGACAGGTGAAGACACTGAAGCAGGTCTTTTATAGCTCAGAAAAACTTGGCTCCCTCTGTGTTGTAGACCCTTGCTTCTCAGAATGTGGTCCACAGACCAAGAGCACCAGCATCTCCTAGCTTATTGGAAATATAAAATCTGAAGTTCCTCTGCTCACCACCCAGACCCAGTGCATTTTGATGAGTGAATCATATTCACATTAGAGTTTGAGAAACTTTGTTATAAACATCATACCTAGCTAGCTTCCTTGTCTTCCCCTTGGATCGATCACTTACCCTCTCTAGGAGTTCTGCTCATTTGAGGGAAAAAAATGCCCTTATGTGAGGAGGAGTTCAGACTCTCTTTGGTGTTTGTGAACTGTTCCAAACTGTAATATATGGGCTATTTCCCAAATTTGTGGAAAGTGTTTTCAGTGGGAAGCAGATATGTCCATCATCTGAAAGGTGGTGCCTTTTTCACAGTGCTAGGGCACAAAATAACCCAAGCCCCACTGGCATGCAGGAGAGGAAGGCTGGGCTGGAACCAGTCCCTGCTTTAATTATGAGGAGAGAAGAAGAGATAGGCATCACTTTTAAATTTCCCTTATTAGTCTTGCACTTCTTCCTAACCCCTTCCTAATGCTACCTTATCCCAACTCCTCAGCAGTTCTGATTTGCCCTTTCTTCTTGATGGCTCTGCCCTTCTCCTTTCTCAAGAAATACTGGAGCCAAGTAAGCAAGCCAAAAGTGAACTGCTGGAGTTTATTTACATGTTAATATACTTAATGGTACTTCATTCAAAACTTTATGCCACCTTTAAATAAATCATGGGAAATACATGTCATGTAGTTTTTCTAGCTCATCTTTTTGTCCACAAACCCACTGAGAAAAGAAAATATAAGAAATAGAACCACTTGATAAGAAGAAAGCCGATGGTTTTAAAACATTAATGTGGCAGTTGACATGTGTACAAAGCACTTCCACCTTGAGGTTTGTGATCTTAGTAATTAGCACACCCTTTGTTTGTTGGTGTGATGTTGGAACCAGAAGAGAAAAGTGATAACTAAAAGAATAATGTGCAATGTTGTTTTTTGGCCTTGTGCATGATTTCATGTTTTCAATATTCCGTGTACACACAGAATTGTTGAAGTTGTCATTTGCAATATTTACATTGGGAAAATTATTTAAATACTTTGTAATTTTAACTGGCATTTTCAGCCATGACACTTGCACTTATTATATTATAATAAATTTCACTTTTAACACACACAAAAAAAGAAAAAGAAATGACAATACATTTATGGAGTCCTTATTCTGTGCCAGGCACTGTGCTGTGCCCTTTGTGTCTCTTTCTCTTTGGGAAAACTGCAATGAGGGCATGTTCATCCATATTATGCAAATGAGGAAACTGAGGTTCAAAAAAAGAAGTCTCCTGTATAAATTCAAAGAGCCACTAAGCAGCAGAGCCACCACTAGACTTTAGATCTAGCTGTTTATTTTAGCCAAAACGCTACAGAAAAAAAACAAGCACACTATTTTTTTATTTAAATGAAAATTTGATTCCAACTACTTCTGAATATTATGATGTATTATAAAAATTAAAAATTTGGGAGGTCAGGCATGGTGTCACACATATATAATCCTAGAGGCTAAGGCAGGAGGATCTTGAGTTCAAAGCCAGCCTCAGCAACTTAGCGTCCCTAAGAAACTCAGTAAGACCTTGTCTCTAAATAAAATTAAAAAAAGAACTGAGGATGTGGTTCAGTGGTTAAGTGTCACTGGGTTCAATCCCCACTACCAAAAAAGAGAAAAAAGAAAAATTTTAAATTCTTACCTCAAATACTACCTCCCAACAACTTAAATATTTCTTTTTTTTTATTGGTTGTTCAAAACATTACAAAACTCTTGACATATCATATTTCATACATATTTCTTACTCTACACAAATCACAGTATTTACTTTTTTTTTTTTTTTGGTGGTGGTGCTGGGTATTGAACCCAGGGCCCTTTGCATGCTAGGCAAGCACTCTACCAATTGAGCTATATCCCCAGCCCCCAAAATCATAGTATTTACTTTTAAAAGACTGATATAGATATAACCTATTCCATTATCTATAGATTTCTATCTTAACCTCAAGGACAAGAAGCTAATCAATCAAAAGACATTTTTAATCAAGAAAATATTAGAAAAGCATCTTAGAATCCTTATCATAAATGACTAAAAAAAAAAACTATGACTTTTAAGTATTGTCCTAAATATTTGTATAGTACTAGCCATAATCTTAATAGTACTTTAAAATATATAGTTTTATAAATATAGATTTTTTTCAATAGCCTTAGTTCTTCTATACTAACTCACTCTACAATTCCAATATTTGTTTTATCAACAACATAAAGTCTAGTGGCTAAGGAATTTTTCAAATTACCAAACTCCATAAAAAGCACTTAAAAAAAAAAAAAAGCAGTACTTTGAGATGCACATACAGAATTCACATGATTGACAGATCCTTCCCAAATAACATTACTAATAGTCCTTTCTATTGAGGCAGAATAGGCAAAAATAAGGATATGCATTTAAAAGAGGCTATGCAAAAAGTACAAAATAATGCCAAGCAAACTATGGCTAACCAATTGGTAATGCAAATAAAATGCATACTTTCAGAGTAAGAAATCAGAGATATCAAATTCCCAGAGAGCCAGACAGGAATAAAGACATTTAAGTGCTACAGACTGAAAGGGTTCTACAGTTGGAAAAATACAGATATATCTTTAAAAAAAAAAACATGAGAGAGAGAGAAAGCAGTAGGATTAGTGAAGAAGGGAGGGTTAAGTTTTCCACAGAGTCTGTGGGTGTTACCCCATGGGACCTTCATTACCTTGCAGTGACACCTGGAGATGGTCAATGCCCAAGGCAGCCTGTTGATTTCTGTGGGGAAGGTCAGGACTAGATGCCATTTTTTGACTCGATGGAGATTATCTCATGTCCATCTCAGTTACAGAAGTGAACTGAAAGTGAAAAGGGAGAAATGTTCATTAGTGACTCCGCAGCTCTGCATTTCTGATAAATGTACCCTGACAAGAAAACAGCAACAAGCAAACACTGCCCTCCAAAAGAAGTGCACACAGGTTTCTGGGAGTGTTTCCGCAATCCATGGGGAACAAAGTAACCTACGCCTTCTCTTTGAATCACAATCAAGATTTTGCCCTGTGACCTATTCAAGCGCTTTGGAATTACTGGCAGAACTCCAAAAGAACTAGTATTGTGGATTCCATACCAGCCGTGAAAAGGAAACTGAAATTCAGTAACTTTCTAGAGGAAACAAAGTGGACATAAACTGGTATCTTAGGCATTAGCCTGTGTGTTGTTAACCTTCAACCACAAGAATTTTCTTCAAAACATTTTATTTAATTTAGTTCCTTTTCTGATCCATAAATGTTGCCACTCACTGGCAACAAGAGCTGAGACTGCATTAACTTACATCTATCTATTATATTATTTTCCCAAGTACTTATTTTTCCACCTACACATTTCTCCCTTGGCCTCTTGAGTCTCTTGAATCTTACTTACTTACTTACTTAGGTGTTTTGTTTTGTGGTGCTGGGGATTGACTCCAAGGCTTCATGCAGAAGAAGCAGGTGCTCTGTTTCTGAGTTACACCCTGCCCTTCACCTTGAATCTTAATTCTTCGAATAAACTCCTTACATCACAACTCTAAAAAAGCATTGGATGTGTGTATGTGTGTGTCTACTAATTTCTGGGGACTGAGAATAAAATAATGACTTCACTCAAGAAGATAATTAAATAATAGCATAAACCTAAACAGGGGCTGGGGTTCTGGCTCAGTAGTGGAGCGCTTATCTAGTATGTGTGAGACACCAGGTTCAATTTTCAGCACCACATAAAAATAAATAAATAAAATAAAGGTATTGGGTCCATCTACAACTAAAAAATTTTTAAAGTTAAAGAATAAAATTAACCTGGGCTGGGGTTGTGGCTCAGCGGTAGAACACTCGCCTAGCACTTGCGAGTCCCTGGGTTGGATCCTCAGCACCACATAAAAATAAATTAAAGGTATGTGCCCATCTACAACTTAAAAAAAAAAAATTAGAATAAAATTAACCAAATATACAAAATGTATGCACAGGGCTTAGGATGTAGCTCAGTGGTTCAACACTTGTCTATGATGTGCCCAGCCCTATGTTTGATTCCCAGTTCCACAATCGATCAATCAAGATCAAATAAGATGGACGTACAGCTTTGTAACCAAGCAAGTATTGGATGAAGTTAATGTTAGAATCTGTGTGTTGGGGCGTGGCTCAGAGTAGAGCACTTACCTAACATGTTAAAGGCCCTTGGTTCAATCTCCAGCTGCAGGATGGGGATTGAGGAGGTGAGGGTGGAACAGAGGTGGGGAAACAGTGTTGAACATGTGAACATGTACTGTAAAATACCTTAACTCTGCTATAACTAGAAATTTATCGTAATAAAATGCTGAAGGGAAAACCAAAAAATAAATCTGAGGCCAACAGCTAGATACAATCAGTCATATTAAATATTAAACAGACTATTTTTAAATACGCAGAGGATAAAAATCATTAAACAGTTCAAAAATCTTTCCATCCCTTCCTCCCCAATGTTTATTATCAAAACCACTCCTTTTATTATCTTTCCTGTAGATCACTGTTATTAAAGATTTTATCTACCAAATAAACTTTATCAGTAATTCAGTTGCTTAC